CTTCGACATTCCATTTTTTGATTTGAATATTTTTCCCTTTTGCTACTGTCGCTATTTTCTGCCGTAATTTTGCCCCTACAAGATAGTGATCTGAGTCAGAGTTCGCCCCGCAATACGTTCTGACATTAGTTATGTCTGTTGCCCATCTTTTTGAGATGAGTATATGGTCAATTTGATTTGCTTCCTTAGTTCCTGGTATTTTCCATGTTCCTTTATGGATATATTTTCTCTGAAAGTTAGTACTGACAACTACGTAATTATTTGCTGCTGCGGACTGTGCCACCCTGAGTCCATTTTGACTGGTTTCAGTGTGCAAACTGTGTTTCCCAAATATATTTGCAAACGTTTCTTCTTTCCCCAGTTTAGCATTAAAATCGCCTAACGTTATAACAGCATCGTGTCTTTGGATTTTATCACATACATCCTGTAGTTCTCCGTAGAATCTTTCAACGTCTTCTTCATCTACCTCTTCCGTCGGTGCATATACATTAACCATTGTCACGTTATGAAATTTACCTTTAAATCTTATGGTGCAAATTCTATCTGATATTGGTGTAAATGCGATAATGGCTTTCCGCAGTTTTTTGGTTATTATAAACCCTACTCCTCTTTCACCTTGTCTCATTTCATTTCCGAAGTAGTATAGTGAGAATTTATTCTTATGAATTTCTCCCTGGCTCTTTCATCTGATTTCCTGCAGTGCCAATATTTCAACTCCGTATTTTTCAAGTTCTTCTGCCATACTTATCATAGCTTCTGCCTTTAAGAAGGTTCGCACGTTCCGGGTTCCAAATTTTAAATCCATAATCATGTCCATTTTTCTGTGCTGAGTTCATCGTTATGAGATCCGTCCGTTTCTTTAATTAGCCATTGTATTCGCAACAATTGAGTTCTACAAGGAAGGGTTGTTCCCTTCGCCCAACCCCCTTTTCATTGGAGGACCAAGGCTCCCTTCTTCGTCTGCCCTGATCCCACCATCCACTGGCGTTGGTTACCCAGTCTCCAGTGGGGTTGCTCAGATTACCGGTGTGTACCAGCTTGGAGGTGAAGATAGGAATTGAGTAGGAGAGGCTAAGTGATGCCAACAGGATACGACATCATGTATTGCGCTTCACTACCCCTTTACACACCAATTTGCAGCACCTAGTTGTTCGTAAAACAGTTTTTGGAAAATTTTAATATAAATGGTGGACTACCAGTTTTTTAATAGGTAGGTACTTGGAATTTGGTCCTTAAAGACTCTCATTGACTGAAAGTTTAAAATCGCAAAGGGAAATCTTCTTTTGATATCCACTGTTATATAAGAAATATGTTATATGTTCACCTGAATAGTAGCTCAGAATTTGTTCACGTAAGTGTATACCACATTTATATTTATTATATTAATCAATTAACTTTTTTAAATATCAATCCTCTTCTTGATCTAGTTCTAACGTTCTGACAACGAAATTCTGAATATATCATGTATATATCTCGTTTATCTCTGCATTTGGTCACACATATTTCTTCAGGACTGTAAATACTGACCATTTCACGATGTTTTTAGTTTTTTTGACAAGTAGAGATTGTCTATTCGGTTATTTCTTAATATGGACCATATGTTATAATTGTCTAGTCAAGTCAATACTATTATAGAAGTTATCAGTGGTCAATCTACATTTATGTTCACATCTAGCTTTTTTAGATGTCGAAGGCATATTATTTACATCTATTTTTTTTACAAATATAATACAATTTACAAAAACAATTTTATAACTCACTTTTACAAAGTTAATTAACAATAAAAACGTACTAATAGAAACTAATAATTTACGATTTTCAATACTATAAGGGTACTTGAGGAACAATACGTTTTCACGTAATAATAGTTCCTGTATAAGTGAAATTGTATTTTAATGTGCTTTATTGAAGCACACTAGACATATTGCATTTTTACCGTCACATGCTCCACAGTATGTTTTAACTATTTTAACTTTTCTATCGGTCTTTCTACTAGTCATGTTTCTTCTTAAACTTTTGTAATATCTTGTACACTTTCTTCTCTGTTTATTACCTACGTCGCTTTGCCTGAGATGGTATTTTTTGGGTGTAACTGGTCGTGAGCGTTCCAACATTTATTTATTTGCAAATGTCTTCGCGAACTTCAGTCTGAACTCAATGATAGGTTGTCGCTTTTTCGCCTTTTCTATTCTTTAACAACTAAGCATTGGCTACTGCGGTATTAAATATTAATTTCACTGCCACTTTCCGGTACCACTTCAGAATTTTGGATATTGGGTTCTGGTAAGAAGCAATTTGATTACTAAAATCAACACTCTTTTTCACCAAGTTATAATCGAGAATAGCTTGTGGTTTTAGCACTTGTGTATAATTTTTCTTTTCACCTGATTAAACCAAGATAAAACTATTATGTTGAAATATTGTAATAATTAAAACTGGTTTTTTGTTGACCCATTTTTTCACTTGTGAAATCAATAATGGAGGTAAATTTCATTATAAGTAACCGGTTGCCACTTTTTTAATCAAGATTTTGGTTTTACATTTTTTGTAGTAGACCATATGCACATAAATTCGTTTTTTAAACTATGATTATAATTCATCGACCAATATTAATTAAAAAAATTAAACTAATAAAAAGGTGTTTTTACGTCGTCAGGAATGTTATAAACTGGTTCTCTTTCACAAAGCATACGAAATATGGTTTACATTCTACATTTAGAAAAATCTTTTATAATGCAAGTCTTGTTCGTTTACCTAAACTTAATTAATACACACTGGTGTCTCGTATATCAGGACCTCTTATTGCATTACAAACATAGTTCTCAATTAGCAGTGTGGTACAAATTAAAGCCGTAATACTGTTCGTAAGACCATAAGACCGTATGTTATAAATAAATATATCCCTACAAGAATTATCTTGAAAATGGGAAAAATACAATAAAAAAAAAGCAATATCAAAAGGTATTTAAAAATGGCTAGTCATTCATGGGCATACAGTTTAAAACAAACGTTTTCAGTGTTCTATTCCTTGATTATTATTATCTGGTTGGTATATTTTAAAAATACTAGCTAAGTATTCTGAAAATGTTGACATTTTTTTCTGGTCTGATCTGCCTCAACTAACGTCATTTTTTTTAATTGGTGTATTATTTCATATTCTTAAATGTATATTATATATTTCACGTTCTACGATGCATTCCACGTTTGACACACTGTCTTATTTAATTTTCTGTCATTCTATTTGTTAAATCCTATCCCATTTACGCCACAGCGTCAAGGAGCAGTAAATGTGTGCAGTGAACAGGAGGCATATGTCTAACAGTGAATGTTGGAACTTTTTCGCGTTTATCATATGTACAGTAGTTGACTAAAAGTAGACGTATGCAAATCATATGCTATTCACTAAATTCTGTCACTTAATATGCCATAGACCTCTGTGGGTTATTACGTTTTATTGCTGCCAGTTTACCGTGTTATTACATGCCGCCATGTTTACTTTGTCTCCACCATCGTATTATCTCCATTAAATCTTATCATTTTAGGCTCCATATGTCATGATTAGACCTATAGGACAGAAGATACATAACTAAGGCTCTTTTGACATAGCATATATAGGAGCAAATATATATACCTAAGGTCTTTTTGACGTGTTGCTGTATTTGATCTACGTCGTAGCATTCTATCGGTAAAATGATATCATTTGAGGTACTGTATGTCACGATTGGAATAATAGGATAGAAGATACATAACTAGGCCCTTTCACGATTGGACTAATAGGACCGCGGATGCATAACTTATGCCCTTTTGACAGGCTGATGTATGCTGTATGTTATTTTTCTGTCTCATAATATTTGATTGGTTAAATTCTATCATTTGAGGTACTGTACGTCACGATTGTGCCACTACAAATGAAGATACGTAAATAGGGCCCTTTTGACGTGTTGCTGTATTTAATTTCTAAGTCATTGTATTCTATTAGTTAAGTGCTACCATTTGATATATCGTACGTGACGATTGGACTAATAGGACCAAAGATACATAACTAATGCCCTTTTGACTCCTTTGAATGCTACTCCATTTAATTTTTATACCTTATTGTATTTTATTAGCTAAAATCTTTCATTTGAGGTAATGCACGTCATGATTAGAATAATAGACCCGAAGATACACAACTAAGGCCCTTTTGGCATGTTGCTTTATCCGATTTTTCTATTTCATTGTTTTCCATTGGTTAAATCCTATCATTTGAGATACTGTACGTCACGATTGGACTTATAGAAACGAAGATATATAACTAAGGCCTTTTTGACATGCTGCTGTATTTGATTTTTCTGTCTTATTGTATTTTATTGGTTAAATCCTATCATTTGAGGTACTGTACGTCACGACTGGACCAATTGGAGCGAAGATACAATATGTAGGTACAATATATCATAACACGTTACTTTTAACAAAACATAATGCCAGAATGATTTACGGATGAAAAAACTATATATATTTTTAAATTTACTATTTCGTTGTGGGTAATATTATATTCAACAGCGATGCCAAATTTCTGATGCTAAAATGATTGATAATGAAAGTTGGATATACATTTTTATGTATATAATGACATCGAGTAAACGGTAAAACCCTGAACTAAATATATATAATATTTTCACCGTACCATCATTTTAGACTCAAACATTTTCTGGAATAAACTTATATAACTCAGTAAGGGATAAAAAGAGAAAGCTGATATTTTAAAATACCAACACGGTATCAAATCTCTAATCAGTGAGATGGTTAAAATTCTTGTAACAAGTACAGGAAAAAAGTTATTAAGGTGTTGTAAAGTAGCGTCGATATACAGATGCTACTTTGCAAGACGATGCTAAATTGATGGTAAAAGCATAATGTATCGATGCCAAAATGATAGTAGGATGTATATATATATATATATATATATATATATATATATATATATAAATAAATCTTTGAATAACATGAATATTACATACCATCATAATATCCAGGAATTGCAGCTTGATTTTGAAACTGAAAGAACGACCGCTCCAACATATACTCGGGATTGATTTCTTCGACTCTTAATAAGTTCAGTACCATATTGTAAGTCAAATGGAACGCGGAGTTGATAGGGTCCGGTAAACCTTTAACTATGTTTCTACCGGCTGCCGGAGGCACTTTCTCGTCCACCATCAAGATTACGATACCTTAAAAACGTTAAGAGGTAGTATTAAGTCGTAGGTAACGCGATTTAGTTACCTTTATCGTCCAGGCCTCTTCTTCCTGCTCTTCCAGACATTTGGATGTATTCTCCAGAAGTAATCTAAAAACAGTCGAAAGTACTTTAAAATAGGTGACAATAATTAGACTTAATAATAGATAATAAAAATAGATACAGGTGAGCTAAGAAGTGTTTATGACTGTTGAAAATGACTTTCAAAAAGTTCTATGAAGAAATAAAAAAATTAAGGGTTATTAATAGAGAGATAAGAGAAATATCAAATTTCACTTATTATTTATAAAAACAATCCTTTTTTAAATAAATCAAAATTATGATGATGAAATAAGACACCGGATATAGGTAGTCGTCAGGTGTAGCTGTCAGAAAAAAGTTGACTAGATGTTTCCGACGTGCAAACAAGTTTAGACAAGAAAATGATTGGACGGGTGGCCTAAAATAATACGTCTACATAGGAAAAAGCTGACTAATGGCATGAAATTCCACTGAATCAGCATACAACTTGCATCTACACTCTCGATCAAAGTTCTTCGGACAAAGTGTCGAAGTGAAGTTAATCGGAGGTGACTCTCTACCGTGTGTAATGTAGTGTGACGCTTCGTATTCGAACTTCGGGCCCTTTGGCTCGGACGCGAAAAACCGACACAGAACGGAAGTAGAACGAGGCGAAGTGAAGTCGCATGTACCTCTCTACACTCTCGTACTCACTGAATTTCGATCAACTTCGCGAGTAGTATAGTGGCCGCTTAAATTGTTTTACATATATAATCATTGGAGATTATAACTTAGCAGAAAATAAAGATAATTAATTTTATTCGGGTCGTCACTAGTAAAAAAAAATGGTTTATTTTAGGAGCCATTCTAATTTCACTGCATGTTTCGTGAAATATGATCTTCTAATTGTTTATTCAACCTGAACGAATCAATATTTTTAATAGCTATTACATCTTATATCCCCTTTTCATGCAGTCCTTGCTGCTGCTACTCGCTTTGCCCACTGTCCTGCCCGAAATAATTCCATGGTAGCATTTAAGGCAAATGACAGTTTACATACAGCTACCGGAGTGTTGCATCAGTGTACCATCAGCAATGGAGGGCATAGAAATTACTGTGGCGGCAGCTTTGTATGTTTTAAGGTTACGAAATGATCTTAATGTTTTAAAAACAAATGAGGTAGAAAAAAAAGTCTTTTATTTGGATAATAATCTGAAACTGGCCTCAAACATTTTTTTACAGAGGAAATGTGACAAACTTTTTCTTTTGTGGTCTTTATGTGAAGATTCTGACAACAATCTCTCACTAGCATATAGCTTTAAAAATTTCAGCACTTGGTCATTGCTACACTTAAACATAGTTTACGAAAAAGTTAAAAAATAATAAACAAATAAGTCCGTGCACTGATAAGACAGCAAGCAGCATATAAACAGTCACTGCCACTAGCACTGCATGTCCTTTGATTTCCGTTTAAAAAACCACCAATGAAGGGAGCGTACGATAGCGGCAGTGGCATGAGTAAGGCTAGGCGCATACACATCGAATTTGGACGGCCGATAAAAGTTCGACCGAACTTTTGTCGATGCTGCCTTGCGCGCACACTACACGATATTTATTCGATGACGTTTTTTAATCCATAAAGGTTTGTTAGGTGGAGTACACAAAATCACAATGAGCAACACAGAACCAAGTAGCAACACGGAGCGACGTACCTTGAGCAGTGTCAAACAAACGCAACTGGTCCTCTGGTCGGTCGATAAAGATCGATGTGTGTGCGCGCAGTCATTTGATACTATACGCCTTGGAACGACGGCAACGACCACGGCAGCCGTGAATGCAGTGACATTCATCGATCGCCACACGACCATCACACGACATCGATGCCGTGCCGTTTGGCGATCGATGTGTGTGCTCGCTCATATTTGTTTCTTCGCGCCACCAAAGGAATTTGTTCGACCAAACTTTTATCGACCGTCCAAATTCGATGTGTGTGCGGTGGGCGTAATGGCAGCGCGAGCGACGTATTTACATAATTAAGCTGTCAACTTCCCTGCTCAATGTCGCAGGAGTGAGCTGCGTGTAAAGGGTACTAAGTTGCTAACGCGCACAAAGTTTCTCCCGGACTTCTTTTTCACTTCCTCTCCTATTACTACTGCTAGACCCACCAATAGTATAAATACGCACGTAACTTCGAGAAAACACTCTCTATAACGGCACGTATTAAGCAAAGCATCGAAATAGAGTAAACGCGAGGAAAGCACGTTACAAACCGCACTATTCTCTCTCTTCAATCCTGACCCCCCAGGAGAGTGTAGTGGTCGACGTGATGTCGTGTATTGTCCGTCTCCAGAGATCTCTGTCTCTGGTCATTTCTTTTAATTCATGCATAGGTCTTTGGCATATTCCTGTAATTTGATCTATCCATCTTGTTGGGGATCTTCCTCGTGATCTTCGGCCTTCTACCTTTCCTTGTATTATGAGTCTTTCCATGTTTTCTGTGTTTGCTCTCATAACATGCCCAAAATATTTTAATTGTTGGAGATGGACTTTACTAGAGAGTCGTTGACTAACTTTTAGCTCTTTTAAAATTGAATTATTTGTTCTACGGTCGGTCCAAGGAATTCGTAACATTCGTCTCCAACAGAACATTTCAGTGGCGCCTATCTTTCTTCTCTCCGATTGTCTCAGAGTCCAAGATTCACATCCGTAGGTCAGTATTGGGAATATTAAGCGGTTGATCAACCTCATCTTTATTGCTCTTGAAATTTGACAGTCCTTCCATATTTTGGTCATTTTTGCTGTGGCAACTTTTGCTAGATCACATCTACGTTTAATCTCTTCTTGTAATGACCCTGTGTTTGTGATTAATGATCCCAGATATAAGTATGATCTCACAACCTCGAACCGGTCAATTGTGGTTATGTGTGGATAATTGTTGTGTAGTCTATCCACTATCATGATCTTTGTCTTTGATATGTTTAATTGCAGACCAAATATTTGACTTTCGTTTTCTATCAGTCGTATAAGTTCCATCAGCTCTGCTTGACTATTTGCAAGAAGGGCTGTGTCATCTGCGAAACGTAGGTTGTTTAGTTTATGACCATTTATTGAGATGCCCTTTTCCCATCCTTCAAGTGCTCTTCGCATAATATACTCCCCATATATGTTGAATAATTGTGGAGATAGTATACATCCTTGTCTGACACCCCGTTCTGGATGAAACTCGTTCGAAAGTGTGTCAAGTACGTTAACTGATCCAGTAGTGTGTTCATATAGTTCGGTTATAAGCGTAATTAGATGTTGTGGTACGCCTACTTCTTTTAGTATTCGCCATAAGTGTCTCCACTTGACCCTGTCGAACGCTTTACGGTAATCTATAAAACAGATGTATAGTGGGATGTTGAATTCCCTAGATTTCTCGATTATCTGTCATATATTCAGCAGGTGTTCTCGAGTGCCTCTACCTTTGGCAAATCCAGTTTGCTCTTGTGGAATTTCTCTTTGAAGGAATGTTTTCAGTCTGTCATTGATTATATTTAGCATTATCTTGCTGGCATGGGATATAAGAGAGATAGTTCTATAATTGTCGCATTTATGGAAGCTGCCTTTTTATGTATGGTCGTTATTGTAGATTTTGTCCAGTCTTCAGGCCATTGTTTGGAATGCCATATTTGGTTACAGAGTAGATGAAGTAACTTTACGCCGGTTTCTTCTGTGGCTTTAAGCATTTCTGCTGTTATCATATCTGGACCTCGTGCTTTGTTATATTTGAGCTTGTTGATAGCCTGTCTTACTTCATTTTCAAGTATATCAGGTTCTTCTTCCACCTCGTCAGAGATTTGGCTAACAAGCTCTTGGCGTTGATCATCTTTATATAGGTCCCTGCAATACGATCTCCATGTCTCTGCTATGTCTTCTCTGTTTGTTCTCAGGGTTTCAGTGTTATCTTCAATGGCCCAAGTTCTGGCTATGAAGTCTCTTGTCAGGTAGCGTATTTTTCTAAATAGATCTCTCGGCTGATTATTCTGACCATGTCTCTCAATTTCTTTGCATATACTTTGATAGTACTGTTTTTTGTCGGCCTTACATCTTCGTTTTATTTCTTTATTAAGGTTTCTTAAACTAGCTTTTTCCCTTTCACTATGTACACCACTTTTACAAAGATTTCTTCTATTCTCAATTATTTTAAGAGTTTTATCTGTTATCCAGTGTTTCCGTTTCACCGAATTATTTTTCTTTGAGCGATCCACTGGTGTTGTTACGCAATGTTTAACAGTCTCCCATATTTCTTGTGATGTTCCGTTACGAATAGAGGGCATACTTTTCTGTACTTCCTGTAGAAGGTCGTCTTTCTTTCTTAGTTCTATCCTCTTTATCTCTCTTTGTTTGTTGAGTGCTTTAAGTTTAAGCATTACTTTAGCTACGAGGAGAGTATGATCGGATCCGCATATCGCCCCTGGATATGATCTGACTGTTTGAATGGACGATCTCCAGCGAATATTGGTGAGGACGTAATCTATTTGATTTCTAAATCTATCTCCAGGACTTTTCCAAGTATAAAGTCGACGAACGTTGGTTGTATAAATCGAGTATTCATGATAGAGTAGTTGTTTGTGATAGCAAATTCGATTAAACGATCTCCTCTTTCGTTTCTTTGCCCTATGCCAAACTTTCCCAGTACATTCTTTAAGTCGTCATTTTGTGTAGTGTTGTCAACTTTTGCATTAAAGTCGCCACATATTATAGTAAGTTCTTTATTTGGTATGTTAGCGATTGTGGTCTCCAGTTTTTCGTAGAACTCCTCGATCTTTATGTCATCTGATGTGCTGGTTGGCGCGTAAACTTGTATGATATTAAGTTTATGTGGTTTGCCATCCAGTTTAATAAGTACTATCCTATCGTTCACAGCTTTAAATTCGACAACTGACTTTTGTAGTCTTGGTGAGAACAGAATGGCAACACCTGTATAGTTCTGGGTCTCACCGCCAAAGAAGTAAATATAATTGCAATTGTCTGTTCTAAAATAGCCCTCTTCTAACCAATGAGTTTCAGCTAGTCCAGAGATTTCTATATTGTATCTTGCTAGCTCGTTTTCAATAATTGCTAGCTTACCTGTGATCGTTTTTAGCCCTTGTATATTCCATGTACCGACCTTCAATAGCTGCCTGAGTTTTACTTTATCTTTTTGTAGACCAGTAGCTGAATTTCCACACGATGCCTGGTCACTAGCATTTGTGTGGCCGGTGGCCAATTTTACACTACTTGACCCGGACTCAAGGTAGCGCTGGTCGTCAACCGGGCTGCGTGACAACATCCGAGGCATTCCATTCGATGACATCACGTATAACTTTCTTGGGAATTATTATGCAATGGTTTCCCCTGCCCTATTGCATCGCAGTATCACAACCTTTCTGCTATTACAGCTCCGCTTGTGAAATTCCAATGATAAGCCGGTTCAGGATAATTTCCTATACGCCTTAACTTGGTACTGGCGGTCGCTGCTGCCCTCCGTCAGAAATGTTTATCGACCTTCCGGTCAAAGATTGAGGAATTTAGGAGTGTGTGAATGGGAACTATTACTATATAAAAAAACTTGTATAGTATACTACATACTGAAAAATATCGATATGAGAACAGTCAATCAAGAAAACTCACCCATCTGTACTCACTGCCATCAAATTTCCTCATCCCAGTAAACAACACAGTTCTTGCAGGCATATTTAACCCCATAGCAAACGTTTCTGTAGCAAAAAGCGCTTTTATGAGCCCCTCGCCGAATAAAATCTCGATAGTTTCCTTCAAAATCGGGAGCAAACCACCGTGGTGGATGCCTATTCCTCTTCTTAATAACGGTAGGAGGTTCTCTACTTGTGGTAGTTGCTTATCGTCGTCTGATAGTACATCCATGGCGTTGTTGAAGACTTCATCGACGAGTTGTTTTTCTGCAGCTGGAATATTGTTTATATATTACTGTAAACATTATTGTACACTCGAGTCGTCAAGATACGAAAATGCCACTGAACCTCTAAAACCATACGAACGAGCTGAATTTTGCTAAGAATGTCAATTTTGGGACCCCTGAATTTTTAATATTTCTAATAATAACACTACGTATTTAAGTTCTTTAAAATTTAAAAAATGTCTTAATTTTTCCTTAAAAATTTTGTGTAATGATTTTAATAATTTTCAAAATTTGATAAATATAACACCTGTAGAATTTATTCATCATATACATTTTTATTATTATCTTCTATTAACGCTTAATTATTTCATTTTGATTATCATTATATTCTAAAAAGAATCATGAATAATGGGAGGGTATATTAATTAATTTTCATTAAAAACTTTCCATTTGTAAATACTTATCTATAAACAACTACAAAATTTGTAAAATAAACTTTTTTTATTTAAATTAATTTTATTTAATTGTTTAATTTATTTTTTAAATTTTATGTAATTTTTATTGAATGTCATTTAATTTTATTTAGGTTCATTTAATTTAATTTATTTTTTTTTAAATTTTATTGAATTGTGTTTATTTTTATTAATTCGATATAAATTTATTTTTATTTTATTTCATACAAACATTTTAAAATAAGAATTAACCAAATCAATCCAGTTGTTCTCGAGTTGTTAATATTATAGAACATTATAATAAAAAAATATATAATATAAATGTACATGTATGTACATGTACACCCTTCTCGATTTTTCGAGTCACCCTAAATAGGATTTCGAGCCTGTGTAAAACATCATACCGAGCGTCAAGAAGTATTCACTTCGGATACAATTAGCGTCTCTTAGTAAAGTGTCGACTTTGCTAAGTATCGAGACAATTACTCTATACACACACACACACACACACACACACACACACACACACACACACACACACACACACACACACACACACACACATCATCACAGAAATAAAATGCTTTTTTCTTAAAGTTAATATTTCTTTAACCTGTCCTAAAATTATTATCCTTAACATGGTCAACATCGAAATCGCGTATAAGAAAATTGTTGCACTATTGTGGCACCTTTAACACACGAATGCCATTTATTCCCAAATGCGAAATAAAACTAGTTTTATTTCAACTGAAATGTGCAACACCGCAAGGTCATCTTAGAGGGCGCTACTTTACGACCACGCCCATGATGCCACAATTGCGTGTGTAAATTAAATCTGCCTCATCCTGATTTCTGGCAACATACGCAGAATCAGAGGTATACATTTTTTATTTTAGCTCTATTCGGTCCTATCCTAGCAAAAAAATACCTATCGAAAGCCAAATGAAAACAAGAGCATATAAAATTATTTTGATAGTAAATGCTACTAAAACAAAGCAGATATTGAGAAAAAAAATTGTGGTAACGTGTGTAAGTTACCACAATTTATGAAGTTACCATAATACAGGAATATGTTCACACAGGTTACCACAAATATCGCTACACACACACACACACACACACACACACACACACACACACACACACACACACAGACACAGACACAGACACAGACACAGACACAGACACAGACACAGACACAGACACAGACACAGACACAGACACAGACACAGACACAGACACAGACACAGACACAGACACAGACACAGACACAGACACAGACACAGACACAGACACAGACACACACACACACACACACACACACACACTACACTAGATACCTGAAGGTACCATGCCAATGATCATAGTTGTCGAAGCATTAACTCAATAAAAAAAAAGCGACCGGTGATATTGAATATCAGTTACGTGAGCGAAATCAATTTTAAATAAAATTATATCAACCTGTCGGTAAAAATTCGATATCTTTTGATCACAGTGTCCTATCGATAAAAATCAAAATGCGTTTTAAAGGTAAAGTATGCAGCTTTCGTGTGCAACTTTTGTATTTTGCCGCAAATGAAGTGAATTTTTATAAAGCTGTTAAATAAAATTTGCGAGATTTTTGCCATTTCTATAATTCACTTTCATTGATAGGTCACTATGGAATTTCTATTGTTAGAATCATAAACATGTAGTATGTTTTTGGAACCTTCACAACTTCAGCTATCAATTCTAACCAATACCGTCTTCGTGGAGGCATTTCCCGTGACGTGCGATCGAATGTAACGTAAAAATGTAAATTATGCGTTTTTTAGGAATATTTCAAATGCCTCATATATGTTGCAAAAACTCAAAAATAAAATTTCATGTTTTAGGTTTTGAAGATTAGGTTCTAATAGTAGACATATAATTAATACAAGATCAACCACTTGACCTTCTCATTTGTCATTGAGGTCACGTGGTCGATAAACCTGACAAATTAAAAAGAGATGCAAGGACTGTTTTGCGACAGTTTTCTCTGTTGCAATGGGGGAACAGGCTGGTATTGCCACGATCAGAATATCTTGTATTACATATTTATGGTTATAACAATAGAAATCCCACAGTGACTGTTCAATGAAAGTGAATAATAAAAAATGGCAAAAATCCGTGGCAAAATGGCACAAAAACTGACTGCATTTGCGACATTGTATAAAAATTGCATACGAAAGATGCACTCTGTACCTATAAAACGCATTGTGATTTTTGTAGATAGTGATTCAAATTAAAAAAAAAAAAAATTGTTTTACCTGTACAAACTTATGGAGCAGAAACTTTAACACTCACGCACAATTCTGCGAATAAACTTAGAGTTACACAACGAGCCATGGAACGTGAGCCTTCGAGACCACATAACAAACCAACAAATCAGGCGAAGATCAGGAGTTATCGTACGTCAACGAAAGAACCACGACGCTTAAGTGGAACTGGACAGGGCACTTAGTCAGAACACAAGATGGACGGTGGACAAGACGTATTATGGAATGGAGGCCCAGAAATTATAAAAGAAGCCGAGGACGACCACCGACTAGATGGACCGATGACATTAAACGTGTAGCGGGAAACTGGATACAAAAGGCCCAGAGTAGAGAACACAGAACAGAGTGGAAAGAACTGAGGGAGGCCTATGTCCAGCAGTGGACGCGATTGGCTGATTGATGATGATGAATATTGAATTCACACGCGTAACTCACATTAAAATCTCCTATCGCTTCAAGCGTTGTCTATGAGAGAACAGTTCAGTCTACAGAAAAGTGCTAAACATTTTTGTTCAAAATTACGTTCACGGCTCCACGTTCTACTTGAAATAATGTTCTACTTGTACAGATTCTCGGTAAATCAATGTTTTCAGTTCCTCTTGCCTACGTGGGGAATTTTTGAGAGAAACCCGGGAATAGAAGTGGCAAATTTTTTTTATCTTTTTGAGGTCCCAAAATTGACATTCTCAGCAAAATTCAGCTTGTTCGTATGATTTTTAGAGGTCAAATATGACCTCTGAAATATATTGACAACTGAAATATTAAGAAACTAGTGTTGGGATATAAATAATTTCTTTATTGTTTTGATTTTATATTGAGTCTATTGGTAGTTAAAAAATGAATTTTTTTAATGGGGTTTATACTTAAGATAACAAATATATTGTTTCGTCAGAAATTTCAGAGCGACCCGAAAGTTCTAATGAGACACTAGTCTCTGGATACAGATGATTTATTTAGCTACGGATGGGCAGATAAAACGATAAGAGCGAGAAAAAGAGAGAGACAGACAGTTAGGAAGATAGGAGAGTACGAGGGGAAAAGGAGTGAGTGGAGATAACTTTTAAATTTAGAATCAAATAATTTTAAAATTTTGACAGAGCAGCAATGAAAATCGAGATAAAACAATAAGAGAGAGAGAGAGAGAGAGAGAGAGAGAGAGAGAGAGAGAGAGAGAGAGAGTGAGAGGAGCGAGAAAGAAGAGAAAAAGGATGAAAAAAAAAAGAAAAGAGATAGGAAAAAGAGTTGAAGGTGTACCATTTCAATTTTCTTTAATACAGAACCGTCAAATTTAAAACTTTGACGGTCCCATGAACACGTGTAAGGTCCTCTTCTTAACTTCAGAGCAATTCGACCCACAATTTCTCTCAAAATTAAATTAGTTCTGGCTATAACAAAAGCCAATTTCGCTCAGTTATTCGTTTTCCATTGAAATGTCTTCAGATGTCGATTTAATATTCAGTTTTGTAACAAAACCTGCATTTTATGCGGTAAGATTTGTTAATTTATGGCTAATTTATTCAATATAAAGAAATATTTTCTTTATCTTCATATACTTAAGGTCCTTTTTTGAAATCGAAAACGGGGCCGTCAACTTTTTTTTTATGTCTGTTCTGCTAACAAGGGAAATATACCCATCTTATATACCGATATATAGAGAGAGAAATGTGGAGATATTTGTGTAAATGATCAAACAATTAATTTTTTTATTCAGAGATATACTAGCGACATTTACTTACTTGTGTTAAAATCTAGCTTGGTCATCTGCATAGCGTATAGCTCACAGTCCTTTTTGCTGAAACTGAACACAATAACTGGTGCAAAATTGCGTTCCATAATCATCTTAACCACTTTAAAAATATCAGTTTGAGTTGGGTCTTTGTTGGCAAACCCCCCTTTCTTTCCTTTCTGATCACCTTTGGCGGCATCACCCGAGTTTTGAAGTACCGCCATGGCGGCGTTGTAGCTGTCATCTTTAAATGTGCCCTGAAATAGAATTAGAAGGATAAGAAAAAGCATCTTAGAAGCAGGTGATACTTACAGTCTCATCTACCACCATGTGGATTCCGTTTCCTCCAGCTGGATATATAAAATGTTGTAGAGGAGTGGGTCTGTAATCAGTATACACGACGTGGCAGGGTTGCTGATGTAAATGGGATACCCATTCGATGAATTGTCTAGCGTTCGGAATTGTTGCTGACAAAAAGACAAAATGAACATTATGTGGTAATAAAATTAAAGTTTCTTCCCATACGACACCTCTTTCTTTGTCACGCATGTAGTGTATTTCATCGAATATCACCCAACCCACTTCCCTCATGATTTCTGACCCTCTATATAACATGTTACGTAAAATCTGAAAATTAAATCATAAAAATTATATAACTGCGACGACTGTTCCACAACTTCGTTTTGCTTTATTTTCTGGCGTCCAATCGCGGCATCATCCACCTAAGAAAAACTCACAAATAATCAGTATCCTAGACTCTTCAAAGATTAGTTAAAAATTACCTCAGCGACAGATATATTAAAATGACAAGTAAAGAAAGAACAAAACTGTCAACTGGAGTACCACAGGGATGTGTATTAGGTCCAACGTTGTGGAAAGTCTTGTATAATGGAGTGTTAAAATAGATTACGGCCGAGGTGCGTCAGCAATTGCATATGCAGACGACTTAGCAAAACTAACAGAAGGTGGCACAAACTCAGATGTAATAAATAAAGTTAATATATGCTGGAAAAAAGTTAATAGGTGGAAGACAACTAACAACTTAGAGCTGGCTTATAATAAGACAGGGCGACATAGAGCGATACCCAACCTGACTTTTCAATTTGCAAGTATGACGATAGTACTAACCAATGTAGAACACCTGATAAATGTAGACCTGGAAAGGTCTATTCAATATATATTTTTCAACTTATGCCAACAGAATAAAAGAGTAATTCCATTAATAGCACAAACATCAGCAAGTTAAAAAGATATACCTTTGCAATCTTTTGCAGTTTCAATTAAATTACAACCGTATGTATCGAAGTCGGTAAAAAATGCAAATGGGATTCACATATTAAGGTTTTTGAATTGAGTCAAATTTAGTCAAAAAGTTTAAAATTTCTACAACTAAAAAATAAAACTCAAAATATGTTTTTATGAACACTGTAGAGAGAGACACGAACCACTGAGCATATCTCCAGCACTTGGCATGGGTCAATTCTCCCATATACATTACTTGGATATTAAATTTTACTCACAGAAAAAACGATGAATTTTAGAAAAGAAACACTTAGCATACGTCAAACTACAATAATTACGCAATACAATAGTAATAACACACAATATAAAAATCTAAAAAAAAATTAAGAAAATTTACTACTTTGTAAAAAATAACGGAGTGCTTGTTAGTGACTTCCCGCACACTGCCAATGACCGCCTTGACGTTTCGTTAGAAGTTGAGTTTTAAAAAATGGATCAACCCTCCCATCTGGGGAAGTCTCCCGGACTCTCCCAAACAAGTTGTAGGTAAAAAACCAGTATCTTAAAGTACAATATATTGCAAATTTCACCCAATTAGTTATAGGAAAACATACTTACTTCAGTTGTCATAATTAGACATGAAGCGCTAGGGTTTATCGTGACGTCACCTGTGACCAATCCCACATCTTTGAACTCATCAAAAAATTCTCTGTACTTTTGATTTGACAACGCTTTAATGGGTGTCGTGTATATTACTCTCTGCTTGTTCTTTAAACTTGTTGCTATGGCATACCTAAGAAACATAATAAAATATTTACACTAGAATCTCACTTTATCTGAAATTAAGAGAAACAGAGGGCATTACAGGTATAACATAAGTTCTGGTCAAGACTATTATTAGAGAAGGTAAACAAAAAATGGTTTAAGACACTTTGTGTCAAATTCTCTCTATTAGCGATACTTCTTTGTGACAAAGAGTTGCTTCATGAATATTTCACCTATTCGCCTTCAAATACATGAGTGAAAATAATGTTTTGTCACTAAACCTTGTTCCAATATTTATGATTTTGACAAGAAAATGTCAGTCTTAACATTTAGTGATGTATAAGTAATGTTGGCCAATTGTCTAAGACCATTAACACATTGTAGCCAGTTTCTAGCAATTTCTCTCTAAATATAACATATTATATAGGTATACAATGAAATTCACAAATAAAAACACATTTACTTGAATGCACAACTTCCTAACATAATTATAAATATACTTCATTTAATTTACTTACTGTTGCACATCATTATCATTGACAGAGATCGAAGTTGACATAGTTGCCAAAGTATAAAAAAATCCTTAATACATTTTAAATCAATTAGGTCACGTAATTATTGCAAAAGTGGATTATACAACAAAACAAATTAATAATACACACACTAATAATAGGACAATTAACAAGAGCCAATTCCTGAGGTTGTCATACAAGAACAAGAAACTCAACCTGATAATACACAGCAGGATAACGAGTGGCGGGATAGCCTAGTTAACGAAATGGCACAGGCCGTACAAGAGTTTAATGGAACAAACCCACTTAGCAAATCACCGTTACCAAGAGTAAAATCTTGTAAGAAACTGGGTGTGCTGTTACAAATTGTGAACACTGAAGTCCTGCCCAATTATGTTGTAGAAGCCCATACATTGGATTATATGCACACGCTGATTTACTGTACAGCAACAGCAATTGCTAATGTTATGGGCATTAAGACCAGAACACGACGGGGTACTAATATCGGAAGGACAGATAACAGAGTAGCACCTTGGGAAAAACGGCTTCTAACGAAAATTGAATCATTACGTAGGGACATTGGTCAAGTCACGGAATTAGTTCGAGGAACAACAAGTAGAAAATATATCAGAAGAGCTAAAGAAATAATGCTAACCACAATCCAGAAAACAACACAGCACAACAGTGCCTGGATACATTAAAACAAAAACTTTCCGTTTACTCAGGCCGACTAAGGAGGTACAAAATTAGTAACAAACGAAAATCCAACAATATGCTTTTTGAAAATGCCGAGAAGGCGTTCTATGGGAAACTCAATTCTACTACAGAAAGTGTCAATAAATCTTATCCAAGTCGAGAAGAAATCCATGAGTTTTGGGGAAATCAACTTTCCACACCAGCTGCGTTTAACACCAATGCTGGATGGATCGAAGATACTGCGCACAACTGCCAACATTACGTTACTGCTCCCTACGAACCCTTCACTACTGAAAAAGTTTCAAATATTATCAAAGAGCTTCATAACTGGAAATCTCCTGGACCAGATGGCGTTCAGAACTTCTGGCTTACGAAGTTCTGGAGTATTCATGAGTGCTTATCAGCAATAATTAATCACACTATTTCTAATCTGCAGAAAATACCATCTTTCCTAACCCAGGGAACAACTTATTTAATTCCCAAAGATCAAGATAACATCCAAGATCCAACCAAGTACCGCCCAATTACTTGTCTTCCAACTCATCATGTATAAATTGGTCACATCCTGTGTAGCCCGGGGTATCAATCAACACTGTCATCTAAACAATATCATAGAGCCTCAACAGAAAGGATGCGCTAAGGGTTCCATGGGCGGCAAAGAACAACTTATCGTCGACTCTGTTATTTCTAACCAAGCGTATAGCAAATAACAGAATCTCTTTACTGCTTTCATCGACTACAAGAAAGCGTTTGATTCATTACTGCATGAATGGTTTATAGATATATTAAAAATATATAAAGTCGATGATAACATAGTGACCTTTTTAAAACATATAATGTCAAATTGGAAGACAAAAATTCACCTCCAAATACCTGGTGAAAACAATATCGAAACTGAAAATATTGCAATTAACCGGGGCCTTTTCCAGGGGGACTCGTTGAGTCCTTTTTGGTTCTGCTTAGTGATGAACCCACTATCTCAGCTACTGAACTCCACTGACTCAGGTTTTAGTATCAAAAATAACAATACTGTTGTGGCGAAGCTTAATCATCTGTTTTATATGGATGATTTGAAATTAATGGCTTCCACTTGAAACCACTTAGTTTCAAAGCCCAAAGGAAAGGTTCAGCCCAGCGGATTCGATGTTCAAAACGACCAGAACATCGAGGCCATGAGCATAAAAATGAAAGACCATGTCGACAATATAGTGTTAAACTATTGGCTGACATCAGGAAAGATGTTCCCTGAAACAGAAGGTTCACTACTGGTCATTAAAGATCAGGTTATACCAACCAAAAATTACCTGAAATATATCGTCAAAGACCCTCAGGTCCAAAATGACAAATGCTGATATGGATGCCACGCTCAGGAAACCATTCAACATCTTACCCGGGGCTGTCAGGCATTTGCTTTAACTGAATATAAGGAACGGCACAACTCAGTAGGAACAATTCTTCATCAAGAGATAGCTATCAAACTGGGACCTCTTCAAACAAGCCATCTTCCATATTATCAATATGTTCCTAAGAGTATACTTGAGAATGACAACTACAAGCTATACTAGGACCGCACAGTGCTCACAGTCACCTAGGGCTCGATAACATGGAAAGAGTCCCACCAGAGCTCAATCCTTTTGATACCATAGGTATCTGGGATAAGTGAATTTTCCCCTTAGAGGGAGTGTGAGCGTTATGGCTAAATCTGATAGTAATTAATAATACACTCTAACTTTGTTCTAAAAAGAACAGATTTTATTAAATAGGTAAAAATATAAACCAAGAGGTATTCACTTTAAAATTTAAAATAATAAAGTACAAAAAGTGTCAACACTGCAACTTTCAAATAAGTGTGACCAATTTATGCCAAAATATCACCTTCGTTCTATTACAGTTACAGTGTGTTCCGAACAAATGTTCTTCATAAAAACACTTTATAATGCATTTATACAAATTAAATGAAACATATTGAGTTAACATTAATAGAAATCTTTAAATATTATTTCTACGCGTATATAATAAAATAAATCTAGTGGCTGTAATTCCAGTGTACTCGGCAAAGTGAGTCTAAAACAGAACACACCTACCGCCTAATTATTTCGTGTTGGAACTTCTTTCTAAATTAGATGAAGTATCTTTTATTTGGACTTTTACAAAAATTTTAAAATGGATTTTTTGTTCTATTTGAACAATAAATATTGCAATTGGTAGTAATTAAAAAGTTGTGTAGTGAACAAAAATTTTCAATGAAAAAAACAAGAATTTAAGAAATAGCAGGAATCCAAACATTACCTGGCAATTAAGCATAGCTTAAATTGAGTGACAAATATAAATTAAAACAACATGCAATCAGGACAAAAACCAATAAATTCATAATTTATTTGAATACTGTAAACCCAATCAAAAATCTTTAGCCAATGGTGTTGAAGTACTTTTTATGAGTATTTTTTAATAATACTGTACATTAGAAATGTAAATCTTCTAAATATCAAATTTATTACACCTTGTGAGTTCCTAAATAAAATAAAAGTCACATATTATCATTAATCTACTTATAAACCAAAACAAATATTAACTTACTCAGCGATCACAGTTTTTCCCGCAGAAGTATGAGCTGAAACCAAAACTGACTGATTATTTTCCACACACAAAATAGATTCCTTCTGAAAGGGATCAAGCTTGAAGGGATACTGTTTGACTGGCTCCCCTCTGGCAGGCTGTAGGGGAATATAGTCATAGCCAGGAGGACAAGCTACTTCATGGGTACAAGAATCGACTGTATGTATAGTGTGAACCACTATTCTATTTTTCAATTCTTCAAAACTAGAATAAATAGGTATAATTAGTTGATTAAAAATTATTTTTGTTGTTTTTTATTTCTTGTTTGTCAAGATCATGTTACAAACATTATAATATTTCAGATACTTAAAAAATAGGGTATAAAATATTATTAAATATTTTCTATTATAATATAGGTAGGAGCATGGCTTAACTTCAAGTCATCAATAGATAATTGACAATGAGAAAAATGATAAATTTAAGGATTAAAGCAGGATTTGGAACAATTAGACAAACCAAAGTTACTCACTGAAATATAGAAATATGTGACAAAACTAACTGAATGCTTCATGGAATGTACAAAAAGTATAATATAACGGTTCTATGGATACAATAAATATTCAGAACTAAGAAAAAGTTATTAACAAACATGATTAGGGACTTTCACGATTTCAATATACAAATCAAGTAAAATTGAGAATTTTCTTCCAAATTTGATCACACCTTCAAAACAAACATTAACACTGTGTGCAAATGTAACACTGGCCACAATATGATACAATTTTAAAAATAAACTTCACAATATTAACCACAAATTCAAGGCAAATTAGAACTACATTGATTCATCAAAAAGTATTAGATAATAAAAATATTCTGGAGTTACACTAGTATTAATCTTACTTACTTTATGTCAATCACGATATCTTCATTTTTAACTCGTTTCGGCGCTGGAGTCCGCTCCTCCTCTTCATCATCGTGTTGGTCACTTTTTCTTTTAAATGTTTCCGAAGTCCTGAAAAATAATATATTGTATATGAGATCCCAAACGTGCACTTTTGAGGTTATAATCTTAAAAACAGCTACCAACTTTATCGTTTCCTTGGAAGGGGTTTCGTCTTCGAAACAATCGAAAAGGTCGTCTATTAAATCTGCCATTTTTATTATTTAGTATATTTAGTACTAATTGTACTAATCATAACAACTTTTTAAAATATTTAATTTTTCGACATAAGCTATCAATCAACAAAATTGACATTGACAGATCCCAAACCACAGCACAGACCAGAGGCACAGAATAATAAACAGTGTCCACTCTCAGATGCCGCCTTTGAAGTTTTTCAGTACGCGCGCCATGTTTTAGAAGGAAACACATAACACATACATATGATTTGTGAGTTTATGTAATTGTTTATATTTATGTTTAATTCTATTATATTTATGTTATGTACACCACATAAACAACACTGGTTCCCTTTAAAACATGGCGGAACGTCTGCGCGAAGGGGATGCGCGCACTTAATTTTCCATGGAGAGTGGGCATTCTGATTGTTTATTATTCTGTGGCGCAGACGTTCCGCCATGTTTTAGAGGGAACCAGTGTTGTTTATGTGGTATGCAGTGGAAAATAACCCGGTTTAGTTAACTTACGGCAATCATAGACATACTATACAATTATATTAACATTTTTAAATATAACATAAATAAAATATAATTAAACATGATATAAACATAATATAAACATGATACAATCCTTATATCTCTGATACAAACAATGACGTATAATATATAGACTCGGTGAACGCTTTAAAAAGTGTCCAAAACATGAATACCTTTGTTATTGTTTATTGTTTTGATACGAAGATGCACGAAGTTCATGATTTCTTACGAAGCATCACGAAGTTGATCATGTGTTTGAAAACATCATGGACGTATGAAAACATTTTCTCCATTTTGTGTGACAAGCAAATTTTATTTTAAATTGTTGAGAGTTATTTACTTACTATTTTAGTAAAATGCAATACTATTTTATCAAAATAATTATTTCTCTTATAGACGGAACAAAAAGAAATCATAAATATTTAATTTTAATTAAAAAAATAATTATTGTCATTAATATATAAATGAGCACGTCGCTGTTCTGATAAACATACCTTCAACCTTGAGCCGAGATCTTTCGGACACTCTATTCTATAGGGAGAATAGGGGACTGCGTAGTCTATATATTATACGTCATTGGATACAAACCATCGAGCAATAAGACAAAAGAGGGAATCTAATCCTTATGAAAAGGAGACCAAAAAAGTGGCCTCTGATGGCGGACATATCCGGAAATGCGAATGCGCCAAATTTAAATTTTCCGACACTTATCAACAGTAGCTATATAATATTTCGCAGAATGTGTCTTAGACGAGAAAGTTTTAATTAATTATTAATGATAAGAGTCTAAAATGCGACACAATTGTTAAAAAACTTCAATATAAATAAGATTTCATGTGCCATTTGGGACAAACAATAACATAACCCAACTAAATTTGATGTAAAACAAGGAGGGAGACTCTCTTTCCTTGTTTAATGTGGCCTCTAAAGATCGCACTTCCTGTCTAACAATATGTTTGCCCCCACTACCTTTATATTCCCTCTATTGTCTTTTTGCTCGATGATACAAACAATTACATAACCTCACAAATCATATGTCTGTGTTATGTGTTTCCTTCTAAAACATGGCGCGCGTGCTGAAAAACTTCAAAGGCGGCATCTGATAGTGGGCATTCTGATTCAAAAGTGTCTACCCCCAAGTAAACTGGGTAAATTGTCTAGGAGATAGCCCAAAAAAAGAAGAAGAAGAAAAACAAGATAACTCAACGCGCATGTTCTTGTGACGCAACTGGAGACAACTTTAATGACGGCAAGTTAAATGCTCATAAGTGTTCATGTTAATTATGTTGTGTTAGATAATAATATATACTAATGCCCATTTTAATAGAACTTGAAGTAATACTTTAGTTTTGATAGGTCTTTAAAAAAAGTTACTTTGGATGTATGTAGTATGTACTGAACTAGAACATATTTTTCGTAGTTGTAATGGCGACATATTAAAAATAACAAAAAATTATTTAAAAATCTTAATAGAAGCTGTAAAATATGTAAATGTTAGCGACTATGTAAAATTACTTTTTTTTTAATGTAAAATGTATTTTAAGATACGAATTTTAAATAAAAAATATTAAAGATAATTAAAATATCTGCAAGGGAACAATCACAAAGATTGTAAAATAAATGTCTAAATGATATTCATAAAGTCTCAAGTATGACCCGCTTTTCCTTTATGGCCAAATTCTTTACATTTTACCGGCCTTTTATATTTATTTTTGTTTTATAGCAATATTTATTTTGTTTGTAATACACACAATCAAATCGTAGATTCACAGATATCTTTAATTAGCTTTACAAATTACTTATTTATTTTCAAACCACGTTTTTACAGAAAGTAAACTATACTAAAACAATTTATAATTGAAGGTGATTACTTGGCAACATCGTACTTAACGAAGCCCTTAACTATAACTTTTCAACGAAATCGTATTGAAATTATCAATTTTGCAGAAGCGTACCAAAAAAAAATTTAATTCTTTATTTAAACACATAAGTAATTACGTAAAAATTAAATCTAAGACCGATTTAATTATTAAATTATCATGTCTCTTTTAACAGGTATCTTATAGTTGTTTAACAAAATAAAATAAAATTTTATTCTTATTAGAGAGTATCTAATACAGAACTTCAAAAAACAGAAAACTGGAAAATATTTTTTTTTTCATTAGACTAAAAACAATCTGCAATTTTAATTACACATCATTCTCTATTTATAGAATTGCTGTGTGCTGTAAACGTTATATTTGTTTTTTTTTAACTTAATTTGAAAGTTTGCTTGTGTTTATTTGTTTATATAAATATGAAAATATATTATAAAGTTCATATAAATTAAAATAAAGTAAGCTAAACTATTATCATATGAATACGTTTATATAGCAGTGCGTTTGTTTATTTTAGTAAATTCTCGAAATATGAAATGAAGGTGGCACTAATTACTAAAGAGTTAATAGCTTTGTTAGAAGAAGACTCAGATTGTGAAAATGCCACTTAATGTGGTTTATTTGCCGCCGAGATTAGATTAGAAAGTTGCTGATGTAGAAGACATTGATCTTCTTCTTCTTCTTCCTTCTTGTTTGTAGGCTTTAAAGCCTGTTTCTTCTTTAATATTAGTTTCCTAAATTGTTTAAATTGTCGCACCATCTTTTTCTTGGTTTGCCAATACTTCTTCGTCCATTTGGTGACTTATCTCGTGCTATTCGTACTATTCTATCCTCCGCCATTCTACTGATGTGTTTGTTCCACTTTTGTTTTCGTTTTGTCACCCAGCCATTTATGTCTCCTATATTGCATGCGCTTCTTATGTTTTTGCTTCTCTCCCTATCCAACAGACTTCTCCTTGATATTCGTCGGAGTATTTTCATCTCTGTTATTTCTAGCAGTCGTCTCGTTTTAGATGTGTCAGGTCTTGTCTCAGTCGTGTATGTTAATATAGGTCTAATTCCTGCTTTATAGGCTCTTGTTTTCGTGTCTTGTCCTAGGTGTTTGTTCTTCCAGATTGTGTCATTAAGAGAACCCGCCGCTTTACTTGCTTTTAAGCTTTGCTGTCGTACTTATTCTTCAACATCTCCGGGAATTCTAACGATTCTGATTATGATATTCCTCTGAACCACAGATAAAACGTCCAAAAAAAAAACAGGCAAAAATAGTAAATCCAAATTTATCAGAAGAGGCGTTCGACAGGGATGTGTGCTTTCCCCTCTTTTATTTAACATTTATTCAGAAGCCATATTTCAAGAGTCTTTGGAGGATGCAGAGATGGGAATCAAGGTGAATGGAGTATTGATCAACAACATACGATATGCTGATGATGGTGTCTTAATTTGTGACAACATAGTCGATCTTCAACAACTTGTCACTATAATCGGAGAATACAGTGAGCGAATGGGACTAGAGATTAATACCAAATAGACCAAATTCATGATCATCTCCAGAAACTTGGATGCATTTGAAAACTCCACCATAACACTGAATAGTAAATCCATAGAAAGAGTGAGTAAATTTAAATACCTGGGATCGTGGCTATTTGAAGACTGGGCATCGGACAGGGAAGTAAAATGTCGCATTGAGCAAGCTCGACAAGCTTTCGTAAAATTCAAGAAGGTACTGACTTGTTCTGAGTTCGATCTTCAACTGAGACTAAGGTTTACTAAGTGCTACGTATGGTCAGTGCTGCTATATGGCGTAGAGGGCTGGACACTCAAAACGAGGGATATAAACAGATTGGAAGCTTTCGAAATGTGGCTTTATCGCCGTATCCTAAAAATACCATGGACAGCGAAAATCACAAATATAGATGTCCTTAAAAGAATAAACCAAGAACGCCAACTTTTCGAAACCATCAAGAAAAGGAAAACGGCGTATCTAGGTCACATCATGCGAAATGAAAAATACCAGTTCCTCCAACTTATAATCAAGGGTAAAATTGAAGGCAAGAGAGGAATGGGACGCAAGAAAATGTCCTGGCTCCGAAACATAAGGCAATGGACAGGGATTAACGACATACAATCTCTGATACATATTGCAAGAAATAGAGAGTTAATGGAAAATGTGATCGCTAACATCCATTAGTGGATTTGCATCTGAAGAAGAAGAAGAAATTTATCTCAAGTTGTAATAACGGATATTCTTTCATGCTCAGAAGTAATTCAACATCAGTCTGATTGATATTTAGACAATATAAAAGCCAACCATGTAGGCAAGTCATATATTAAAGTTTTTCACTCTTTTTGATAAAAAAGTAATTGAGAATAACCGTCACAATTTTAAAATGAATAACATAGATTTAAAAAAATTATTAGCATATGTATATTGTCTGGTTTACACTCTGGTTCAAGTTGATATGCATTGGTCAAAGGATGAGGATAAAGAAGTGCATATTATAAGAGAAAGCATGAGCCGACATAGATTTATAATTTTAATTTATAATAGTGAAGAATCCGCTACATCAGTGTCTGTACATGGGCGTCAATCTAAATTTGCTTTACCAGATGAAACCAGATTCGACAATATTGGCCACATTATAAAAAGAGACAATAGTGCAAAAATTTAGGATGTACAAAAGTAATACTATTTATTTATGTAAATATGTTCCTTTAT